CCCCCCCCCCCGCTCCATTTCTGCTCCAGCTCAACTGATCCTGGCCTGTGTTATAACCCCTGCCCCTGCACTTGCTACTGAGCTTCAGCAAAGCCATCAGCACCACAGCTTCTCTGCCAGGAAGCATTCACAGATGCCATCTCAGCAGCAGCTAGCAGGGAACAGCCTCTGGTGTGGGCCTGCTGTCCTGAGAGCTGCTCTCCGCAGTGCAGGCCCCAGCACACACCAAGCCCGAGAGCTGGAAAGCGCGGAGCTGGAGGCAGGGGCTAAGAGCAGCGGTGCCAGGTGAGAGCAGCACAGAGCAGTGGCACACACTGCACACCAACAGGCACTTACAAAGCGGGTCTCCCTGCCTGACAGGTGAGCAGGCCGAGAGGCTGCAGGTGTCTGGAGAGGGGCAACGCCAGGGAGAATCGTCAGGGGAGAGAATCAGAAAGAAAAACGAAGAGACCAGGTTTCCTATGTGAGAGGCTGAGACAAGCACCTTCTCCCCAGCGCAAACATCGCAGTTTCCCAAGTTGCCCGGAACTGTCAGTGTCCACACAACTCCTCGCTGTCTGCCATGAAGATGGCCCCTCCGCACACACGCGTGCACACATGCATGCACACACATACACACAACCCCATCACAAAACCGCTCCTTCCCCCCACCCCTGCCTGCTTCATCCCCCCACCAAAAGCTCACAGAACCCAAAGCCAGGCAAGATCATCATCAGGACAAAGGATTCAATTTCTCTGAAAAATTATTTCAAAACTCCAAGAGCTCTGAAATAAGCCTATAAATCCTGTTAGGACTATAAGAAGTCAAACTTAAGGAATTTACTTTAAAAATAGATGGAGGTAGAGAATTAGTGATGCAATTCCTCGAAATTTCTACTCTGGAGCAACAACTTGAAGGTCAGCCTCCTGGATCCCCAGAAAACATACTAGCCTCAAGGCTCGTGATTATCTGTGTCCTTCAGTATCTCCTGTTGGACCTGTTCCACTTTGCCTAAAGTTCATTGTGAAGACGGAACTAAATCTACCAGACATAACCTTACATGACATGTAGGTGACTGCCGTTCAAGGCTCTGATCAAAAAAGTATTAAATAATGTGAAAAACAATAGTAAATGAATTGTGACAGAAGGCTCATATACAGAATGCAGGACTGAGGATGCCATTAGCCAGCCTAACAATTCAGCATTGTGACAATAAAGCACCTTTAAGAACAAGTGCCAAAGTCACTAATTTATAACAGCCATACACCATGCAAGGGGAGAAGACTATCAGAAGCGATATACAGAGTAGATGTCAGAAACGGAGATCTCAAAGCAGTGAGTAAAACTGCTAAAGACCTGAAAAGGTTAAAATAAAGGACAAATTCATGAGATTGGATGTGTTTTAAGAAATTAATAGAATCTCACATGGCATACACATTTCTGAACACAGAACTAAAACAGAAAAGCAAGAAAAAAATATATGCTATATTGTATACATTAATCAACAGGTTTCTTAAGCTAAAGAATCTAAACTGACAGAGTGGAGTATAAATTACAGCAAGTGCTAAGTAACAGGAAATTTGAGACATCCAACTTAGAATTGGAAAGGCAAATGCCTGCATCCCTGCATCTGCAAAACTGCTACCAGCATGCTCCACCCTCCATAGAATGCATTAGTGAAACTTTTTCTGTCCTTCACAGAGTCCAAGGAGCAAAGTTTCATCTGAAACGTTTCTACAATCAGAGTAGTGGCTGCTACTAGAAGACAAACCTTCTCTGTTGCCACAGGAAGTTGGACAACGACAAGCCACTAGACCCTCCGATGCCAAGCAGAATCAAGCAAGTTTATCCTGAGTTAGAAGAGCTGATGATGGCATTTGCCACAGAGTAGACAATTGCAAGGACATGCCACTGAGCCTCCAATGCCAAAACACTGATGAGCAAATAACTTCAGGGGTATCATGAAAGCTGCCTATGACAAGTTGGAACAAGGGAAATTCCAATCAGATACTATCAAAAAAAAAAAAAAACACCCAAAAACCAAAAGCCAAAATCATAATGAGGGTAGTCAAGCATTGGGATCCAGAGAGATGTGGGCTCTCCATCCCTAGAGGTACTCAAAATTTGACTGGACATGGCTGTGGGCAGCTTGATGCAACTGAACCTGCTCTGAGAGGGGGCTTAGACCAGAGGTCCCTTCCAATGTAAATCATTCTATGAACAGCTATAGGGCCACCCTTGGGGATTTGCGCTTCCTTTTCAACTGCGAACTGAGGACCTTTAAAGAGAAAGCAAATGCAGATCTAGATCTCTTTCCTTTGTAGACAAAGGAGTAGCATCCCCACCACATAAACACTTCTGGATAAAAGAACCTAATCACAAAGACACTTGCCACATGTGCTGAAAGGAAAACTTACAAACACCCAAAGATATAACTCTGATCAACATGCAACTGCTGTCAGAAAAGCAAGTAAGTAAATATAAGCAGCTGGAGCAGAAAGTATTGAAATAGTGTTACTGTACTATATTACTATATGTATTACTATAGTCTGTATACTACTATAGCATCTTCTCACAATCTTATTGCGTGCTTGGTGTTCACTCAAACTCCCAGGATCCAAGAATTGAGAGAGAGGCAAAATATGCCAAGGAAGCACTCCTGTGATCTAAGATGGGCTGAGCTGTTGCTCACTACTTCTCCCTTCTCCTATTCTCTGCTCCCAGCCACATGGTCCTGACCCTTCTCCTGAAATCAGTGTGAACGCTCACCTCAACCCCAAGATGATCCAATTCAGTTCACTAAGCTGGTGAAAAACTAACCCAGGAATAAAGCATATCATTTTTTTCCAACTTAGAGAGCTGAACTGACTCAGCAAAAGATCAGGTAAGATCCAGAGCTGGTAGGACCAAATAGCTGGGAATGTGGGACAAGTGAGCATGACTGTCCTTTTTGAGAGCAGTTGCACTCCAAAAGGCATGCAACAGATACAAAATGACCAGGTGTAGAGCATACAGAACAATTTTCAATTCATTCCAGCTCATAACATAACAACTATGACATGTAACGACTGCGAAAGCAAAAAATGTGAAAATCCATTCAAGAGCATTTCCTTTCACAAGGCACAACCAATTTGTGAAACTTACTGCCACAGGATGAAAAATGAAATCAAGGACTTAGCAAGATTTAAAAGGAAAGATTAGAGTTGATATAGGTAGCAAGAATAGCTAGTCAGAAGAGGCCACGCTTACAAAAATATCAAGAATTACAAAAAACCAAAAAAATCTCCCATTTCAGAGCTAAAGCTGGCCTCTAACTAAAGAAGTTTAGAAGATACTTCCTAAGAGTAGGTTAACCTGTAACTGTTTGCTGTAGGATCCTTGAATTTTCTCCAAAACAGCTGTTGCAGACTGCTGACAGAGTCAGAAACAGAACTAGTCATCTCTCTGGGAGACAGACTACAAAATGGGTTCCAGATCTGAGATGATCTTTGCACTTCTCTGAATCCTGACTTCTCCATCTCTTCTGAAGTACCAATTGCCAGAATTAATTATATAAGGCATTGGCGAGGCCATTCTCAAAAGACAGACAACCACCATTTTGTAGGCAGGCGTTCCAGGTATTGTCCTGCTCGTTACACCGATAATTAAA